TTTGTGGCTGTAGCCATCTTGGTTGGGTCAATTTGCATACTCGCTCCTGATTGGCTGGTGGGCTGGCTTGTGGGTGTAGCAGAGGTACGGTTAACTTGCATATTACTCTTTTATTAGATAGGATTATTACCATTGGAAATCTTATGTGTTTACATGCAAATTGTGCATCTCTCCCACTAGAATGCAAGCCCTGTGAAGGCAGGGTTTTTTTTTCCCCCCCTGCCTCATTCACCACTCTATTTTCAAGACCTCCATCAAAGCTTGATACATAGGATAAAATGATTGAAGGTCCAATGAATGACTGTCCTTACTGGGCTCTTGAAGGGATTTGTGTTACCTCTTTCAAGCCCCACACTACTCTAATTGGGTTTTCATTGCCTGGCTTTTCCACTAAGCTGCTTGAAGAGATCATGAATCTTTCTTTCCCTTTAAGAACATTCTTCTGGCCTGTGGGCTGAATCCAGGGCTTTCCCTGGGCATGAAATGTTGATGGCTAGAAAAAGCTCACTTTGCCCTGCCCTTTAGGAATGGATGACATAGATGTTCAACAGCTGCCATCAACAGCTGGTTTCATCCAAGAAAAATGCCACCAAGGATGTTTTCATTAGGTGTGATGAGTTCGTAGGTAACGGCACATGTAACTAATTTTTATCTTTTTCTTTTGAGAGCTGAGATTCTTCTAAGTCAGAGTCAAAGCTACTTAACTGGAACAGGGTATTTCCGAGGTCTCTATTTGCAAATGGTTTCTGATAAATCAGAGGAGCTCCATACACCATGAACTTCCTGTGACACGCAGTGTCTAAACAAGTCAAAATTGATAACCAGAAAGTGGGAGTCTAAGCTACCAGTCACTCACTCTCTTATCACATTCAAAACAAACAGCACATACCATTTCTGAAATTACTGCTGAGTCCTTAAATGAAGGCTTAGGCTACAGATCATACAAATAAACATAAAGTAAAACAAATATTTTGTCCCTGTTTCCACCAATACTTAAGGCTTAACCTTGGTATCTCCACACTTTTTTCTTTCCTTTCTCTGTTCTGTGCACTGGACTCAAGTCCCTCCCTTCCCATCTCTGCAAATACTGCCATGGTATGCACCAGTCATCTCATGTTAGCAACAGATTTCCTGAAATTTCCTCCTTCCTTTACTGCTTACCTTCCCTGTTCCACGTTTTCATTAGCATGATCTTGTAGAAGATAGATTTCATTATGTCATTAAAAATTTCCAGTAGCTCCTCATTGAACATAGGTAGGGTCCCCAAATATCTTATGGGAAGAAATGACTTTCTCTTCAAAGTCTTAAAAATATGTATGTGTACCTGTAGGTTTAAATATGTATAAGTATGAATGCCTGTATTGACTTACATATCTTTACAGATGAGGAAGCTTTTCACATACAGCTTGGGGCAAAGTAGGTTTACAGTGGTAAGTCAATAAAAAAAGATAAACAATTCATAGAAAAAATGGCAAAGAGTATAAACAGAAAATTGAAAGTAATGGCCACATATAGGCAATAAAGATGAAAAAATTTTCCAATTTCACTAATAATCAAAGAAATGTAATTTACTACAGTGAGATAGGACTTTTCACCTAGAAAATTAGACAAGATTGATAAAAATGAGGGTATTTGTTACATTTATTCATAGTTTACCTATAATGTTACTAGATTTAAAAAATCTGTGATTTGTTTAAGGCAGAGATTAACAAAATTTACTTGTAAAAGGCTACTGAGTAAATTTTTTTGGCCCTGTGGGTCACAGAGTGTTAGTTGCAACTACTCAACCCTGCCATTGTAGGGAGAAAGAAATCTAGATAATCCATAAACAAATAGATGTCGCTGTATACCAATAAAACTTTATTTATGAATACTTAAAAATGAATTTCAAGTATCATGAAATATCATTCTTTTAATTTTTAAACTGTTTGAAAATGCAAAATCATTGTTAGCTCAAAAGTTGTACAAGAATAGCCCCAGCTTTGGCCCGTGGGCAATAGTTTGCCAAACCCCAGTTTAAGGCACAGTGTTTAAGGGCCCTTTATGCCATGAGTGGGCATAGTAACCAGGAGGATGCACAAGAAACTGACTATAGTAGTTGTATTTGGTAAGGAAAATGAGTGACAGAGCTGGAAAAAATACTTATTATTTTCTGTATACTATTTGAGTTGCTTACTATGCGCTTGTATTGCTATTTAAAAAATTCAAGTTTCCTTTTCTTTAAGCCCCTTCTGGAGTCATAAAACCAACAAACCCGATTTGGGCAGACTCTGCCAACTGTCTGGATTCAGGAGGGCACTGTTAGCTCTTCAGGGGCACCTACATAGTGGGTCTCCAGTTGGGAGAATAACTCAAATGATACAGAATTAGTAGAATTGGACTTTCATTTGGGTAAGAGTGATAAATCCTGTCCATTGTGCAATAAGAGAAAAAAATTCTTATCTTGTACCATTTAATCAGGATGAGCATACCAAATGTCAGGGAATTTGGCGGAACTAAGCAAGGAAAACAATTAATACAAGCCATTTAATTGAGCCTACATTTCTTGAGGGCACTTGAATTGAAGGTGCCAGGTTGATATGAATGCATGGAGGAAAATACAAGATTTTGGTGGAAAATGAAAATGATGGTACCTGAGAACTATCAGAGAGCTGTGATGTTCTACAGAAATATGGGGAGCTTGATGAACATGACTGAAGGCTCCAAAGGCAAATAAGAAAAAAAAAAGTTAGCATGGAGGGAAGCCTAATGTAAGATCAGAACTGAAATCTCCTGTGTTTTAAAGACCAGAGCAACTGGGTCTTAAATTACAGAATATAAGTTTGGATTGAATATTAGAAAAAATTCCTGACTCTGTGCTTTGTAGGTTCCTGCAAATTTTTATAGAAAACTGGAATTTCCTAAAAATAAGAGCAACTCAAACTAGAACAATGGTTGTGTGAATTTTGAGGAACTTTTCAATCCATTTATTATTTAATATACAGATATATATATATTCATAATTCATGTATATAATATATACACATTGAATGTGTACATAATAATTTATATACATATTAAAACTGAAATTTCCCAAGTCCTCAAATAGCTTGTGAATGTGAATGAGATACCGTTAATAGCAACAACTCAACCTTTACTGGCTTATTCCTCAGGACCTTTGGCTCCCTAACAGAGTCCTCCTCTCCCCAAGTATTTCAGGGAGGCTTTGGGGTCTCTTCTTGTTTGTTCATAATCAAGTCTGCTCTGACCACTTCTTCTACTTCTTTTTGTGTCCATTGGCGAGACCAGTACCCAACTGTGGTCATACCAACTCTGCTGGGCATTCTCCATGGGGTAAGGTGATACCTCGGCTGCTGCTGCTCTTTCACAATTGCCCCAGAATGACCCTGAGTCCTGTTGGGGTCAAAGTTCCACTGTGATTGTGGCAGAGTTGTTTGAGCGTGAGGGTGGAGTTGAAATGAGTAGTCTCCTACTTATTGTGTTCAGTTAGAAAAGTCTAACTTATAGTTCAAGGTTTCCAAGTTTCATTTTTATTTATGATTTTCTCCCTTTTCCCATTAGGGTGGCAGGATGGCCTCTTGAATCTAGTATAGGTTGGTCAAATACTGTGCTACATTGAGAATTACACATTCACCTAATGACTATGGCTTTGATTTGGGACAAGAGTCCTGGTTCCTGGCTCCCTCTGATTTTAAGAATGGGTTTTCTCTCAATAAATCCTTTGGCTTACTTGAAAGTAGACTTTGGTAGGACCATGCCATTGGTTCACCAGATGAACCCAGATATCTCTGCTTTCTCACAGTAGATACAGTTTGTATCCTTTCACAGGGTGTGTGTGTGTGTGTGTATGTGTGTGTGTGTGTGTATGTATTACTAAATTCTTCAGCCTCTATGGTGTCTTTTCATCAATTCAGATGTGCCCTAGTATTGCCTATTGTAATGGAATGTCTGCAGGTAGAGTAGATCTTACAATTGATTAATTAGGCGGTTTAATGTTGTCATTAAAAAATATGGGTTCTTTACCATGAAAGAACAAACAAAATAGAAACAAATTCATAGATACAGAGAATAGACTGATAATAGCCAGAGAGAAGGGGTGTTGGGGGACTTGGTAAGAAGGGTGAAGGAACTGAGAAGTACAGATTGGTAGTTTACAAAATAATTATGGGGATGTACTAGTAAAATACAGCATAGGGAATATAGATGATAATATTGTAATAACTATGCATGATGCCAGGTGGGTAATAGAAATATCAAGGGAAATAATTTGTAAAATATATGATTGTTTAAGTATATGTCACTTTGCTGTACAGCTGAAACTAATACAAGATAATACTGAATGTAAACTATAATTGAAAAAAATAAAAACTACCTTTGGAATCACATCCTCCTTCAGCTGCTTCCCCATCTTGACTCCCTTTCACACCTATCTCTTTATTAGAGCATCCTAATCTTTGCCTTCATCACCAGCTTTTGAATAAAATATGCAATTATCTGTATATTGGTGTGATTATTTTTTAATCTCTCAATTAAGTTTGATGTCATAGATCATGGATGCTTGTGTTCCCTTCATCATTTTATCTCCAAAGATTCAGCACAGAACTTAGTGCAGAATAAGTCCCCAACAATGTATTTTGAAAGCATGAATAAATGAATAAATGAATAAATACAACAAACGTTGTCTGGTGGACTATCTTACCAGCAGCCACATGCATCTGCTACCTACTTCTGCTTGAATGGGCCCATTCTGCTGAGTGAGAAAGAAAGAAACAGAGACACAAATAATAGGAAAATTCTAATGAAATAGCTATTAGTCTAAAAAATAACCCTAGGTTCTCTTCTGGAGTAGAAAATATAAATAGTTATTATTTGTAAACAAAGTGATTATTTTGTGGAGACAGGATAAAAAGATTTGGAAATCGCCCTCAGAAAACAGCCTTGGAAAAGAGATTCTGATAGCACACCTTCTCATTATTTGACCTTTCACATTACTTCTTCAGGGAGGTGGAAGACATATTGGAAGGAAGAAAGGAAGGAAAGAAGCCCTGGAGATAAAACTAAAAGTGAACACTGCTTCACTTGGGTTCTGGGATGAGTTCTGGACCTCTCCCCAGGATGAAACTTCAGATATTTTGGTGAGATTTACATAACTTTTCTTTTTTCTTTTCTTTTCTTTGGGGAGGGGAGTGAGGGGCGGGGAGGGGAGGGGAGGGTGGGGGGAGGGGAGGGAGGGAGGGGAGGTGGAGGGGAGGGGAGACGGGGATGGGAGGTGGGAGAGGAGGGGAGAGAGGAAGGAAGGGGAGGGGAAGGCAGGGGGAAGGGGAGAGAAGGGAATGGGAAGGGGGAGAGAGGGAAGGGAAGGGGAGAGAGGGGGACGGGAAGGTTGGAGAGACGGGAAGGGAAGGGGAGAGAGGGAACGGGATGGGGAGCAAATGCAGGGAAGGGGAGCGAAGTTAAGGAGGTTGGAGAGACTGGATGATGCGAAGGGGAAGTGGAGCAAGAAGTGAAGGGTGAGAGAAGGGAAGGGAAGGGTACTGTTAAGGCAAGGGCATGTACGGGAAGGTGAAGGGAATGGCAGGGAAGGGAAGCGCAGTACTGGATGGGACGTGACTGGACGCGACCGATCGAAGGAGACTCGATCTCCTCTCCTCTCCTCTCCTCTCTCTCCTCTCCTCTCCTCTCCTCTCCTCTCCTTCCTTCCTTCCTTCCTTCCTTCCTTCCTTCCTTCCTTCCTTCCTTCCTTCCTTCCTTTCTTTCTTTCTTTCTTTCTTTCTTCTTTCTTTCTTTCTTTCTTTCTTTCTTTCTTTCTTTCTTTCTTTCTTTCTTTCTTTCTTTCTTTCTTTCTTTTTATGGCCAAGGTAGATCTATGGCCAAGGTAGATCATGAGAGTGAAAATGCAAATTCCTTAAATTTATCTAAAAGGCAAAGATAAAGATCTTGGGGGGGGGGCATTTCTAAATTTTTGATTTGCTGACATAGTGCCTACTCAACCTAAGAAAATTCCAGTAGAAAGGGGTCTTAAAGTACTTTTGTGTTTGTGCAAAAGACCTGTTCAACTTTAGAGTAAAATTTAATATAATAAATCATAGATACATCCCATTTTAAATCAAGGCTTTTATATTTGAGTGTGTGTGTGTGTGTGTGTGTGTGTGTGTAAAAGAAAAAAAACACACAACCAAAATGTCATCATCTTTTTCCCAAATCTCCCAAGTGTTGAAATTTAAATAAAAATATATGTTATTTTCCCAGATAAATTGAAGAGTATATCTACACTTATAAGTCCAAATTAGGTGTGAAAATGATAAATATTGAGAACAAATAGATTCAGAAAGGCCTTGACAAAATGTCAAAAGGAAGCCAATTACTGTTTTGTATATTGGCATGAACTCTCCCTCTCTCTCTCTTAACCATCTTCTTCCCTCTTCCTCAAACTCTCTATTTATTTGCATTTCAGGGTGATTTTTTGAAGACCACAATAACAAAGGTGCATTCTCAAGTAGAAAAGTTTGGATTAGATAAAAAATGAATCTCATCCAACACTCACACTTACCTGCTGCGGATGAATTTTCTCTTTCTGACAATTTATTTGGTAAGTTGTCAAGTTCATTGAAATCTATATAGAACAAGCTACAATTTGGAAGTGCATGAGAACAAAGCTTCGATGCTGAGTGCCAGAGAGAGTCTAGAAAAGTATTTTTGTTCCTTCTGAGTACTCAGTCAACGTTAGCTACAAATCAAGGTTAGAGGTAGATAGAACCTTGGATTCATTGAAACAAGTGGTCTTCTCTTTTCTAGATGAGGACAGCAAGGCCCAGAGAGCTTTGTGACTTGTCCAAGGCCATGAGGCTAGATGATTAACAGAGCTGGGAGTAGAAACCAATTCCAGCACTAGGGCTGAGTCTGATCTTATTGCAGCATGTACTAAAGTATGAAGTCATGATTGTTGTGGTTTAATATTATACCTATTAAAGGCTGAGCTTACTTAGGTTATAGTTCTGTGATAGGCTTGCTACCCACCATCCTTCCGGCGTTGGGGGATATATGGCATAGTGCCAGGATTAGTCATTTAAACTGGCTTAAGAACAAATTGTACTAAGTTGTTTCCAGTAGATCTGTAACTAGATGGTACCATAAAATGATATATTGCTTTAGTTTATGCATTTAAGAAAAAAGTCTCATTATAAAGAATTTTAATTGGGACTATCAGCAGAGTCAGCAGGGGTAAATTTGGGGTGGGGCAGGGAAGCTTTGTGCCAGTCTTAAAATAATTCCTTTTTGTATAGAAGACCTGCTAAGAGAGCTTGGATGTTCCCATTTATTCACCCTATATTAATAAATGGACCATGGCAGATGGTAGTGAAAATGCAAATGCTTGAAATTCCATGAAAGTCAGTGTTTGAAGGCATGATCCCCTATTTGCAGACATCCCTGGGAGATGTTAATAGCTTATGCTATTACATACCAGTCATTACCAGCTTCTTGTATATAGCTTCTCAGGTCCTTTCCATGAAGAGGTCATTATCTGTCTTACTTATTTACATGCTTACCTGCCCCCATACAGTATAAGAATATTTAAGAGCAGTGACAATGTCTTATTAATCTTAGTATGCATTTGATAAATAAGAATTAAGTCATAAATAAAAGGAGAAACGAGGTTAAGGAAAATAAGAGATGTTTATCGGCAACCCAGAGAGACCAGTAATTATTTATGAAATACCAGTTCTTGGACATACTTGCTGCATCTTATTTCTTTTATTTGTCTTTTTAAAAAAATATATTTTATTGATTTTTTTACAGAGAGGAAGGGAGAGAGATAGAGAGCTAGAAACATCGATTAGAGAGAAACATCGACCAGCTGCCTCTTGCACACCCCCTACTGGGGATGTGCCCACAACCAACGTACATGCCCCTGGCCGGAATCGAACCTGGGACCTTTCAGTGTGCAGACCGACGCTCTACCACAAACTGGTTTCGGCTATTTGTCTTTTCTTCATCCTGTGGATGCATTCAAGGCAAACAGGCACTACCTCCATGTCCAGCTACTTGACCATTTGCTTCTGGCCTATCCTAAAAATCTGTAAAATAATCAGTGTATAGACATCTTTATAATTTTTGCTCTTCCAGTCAGAATGCACAGAATACTTAAGACTATAGCTACATGTCATAGACAAAGGAAAAGTCCACTTAAGGTGTTTTTTTTCCCCACATAAAAATTCCGCTTTTTGCTCTGAATTATAAGTAATTATAATTTGCTCTGAATTACAAGTAAGCACATCAGGTTGAAGGTTGACCTCAGCAGCCATGAGGTGGAAAGATGTGAGGAGACAGAAAAACAGAGGTGAAGGAGCGGTCAAGTAAGAAGCATCTGGAAGTGCTTGCAGAGGAAGCACTGAGACTCTTGCTGTCAGGGCTGTTCTTTCACCTTTGCTGGACCACATTCCCATCCACTTTCCTAACACTTCACTCAAGGTTCCTGAGACTAAATAACACAAGATGCATAAGCTGCAATGCAGAGCTGTTATTCCAGGCTAGATAGAGCAGCTTCTTCAAATCTTCATCTCATCCCTTCCCGAGGTAAACTAATCTGAACCATGTGTGACCAATGGGACTCCTTTTCCTTATTAAGATCTTGAGCCAGGTCTAAGCATTTTTTTTTTTTAACCACATCTCTTTCCCACAGGGCCTCAGTCTCACTCCATCTATATATCTGAGCTAAGGTATGCCAGAGTAAGGGGTGAAGATTTGCATTTTGATTCTTCTTTTCCTCCTGCTTACTTTTGTGTCCTGATGGCACTGACGCATTCTATGTTCCCACCATGAGTTTAGGATACAGAGCAGGGCAGATCGTGGCCCCTGGATGAGTAATCCACAGTGCCTCAGTTGCCATTCTTGGATCTTGAGATAGACCAGTGATTCAGAAGTATTAACTTCATGGGCTCAACTAGCCAGAGCTAAACTCTTTTCCAATGGACTGTGTACTCAAAAACATCAGTCATGTTGTTATAATCGGGCAAGTGGTACAACACATGGATTTCTTTCATCTGAATGTTGAGCACTGACTATATACTGGGCATTGTAATAAAGCAGGAAACAAGACAGGCAAGCTCCTAGTGGAGAGAAGATTCACGGGAAACATGCAAATAAACAAACAAGATTATATTAGGTAATGGTAAGAGCTATGAAAATAACAAACCAGGGTGATGTCATAGTAACTTGAATAATGGGGCTGCTCTCAATGGTGTGGACAGAGAAGGGTTCTGGGAGTTAACAAGCTGAGACCAAAAGACAAACCAAAGAGGACATTCTAGGTGGAGAAAACAGGAGACACAATGGCCCAACGTCTAGAATGGACTTGGAAGGGTGCTGTTTTCTTTTATTTAAAATTATTATATTTTATTGATTTTTACAGAGAGGAAGGAAGAGGAGGAGGAGGAGGAGGAAGAAGAGAGAGAGAGGGCGAGAGAGAGATATCAATGAGAGAGAGACATTGACCAGCTGCCTCCTGCACACCACACACCAGGGATGTGCCCACAACCAATGTACATGCCCTTGACCAGAATCGAACCTGGGACCCTTCAGTCTGCAGACCGACGCTCTATCCACTGAGCCAAATCGATTTTGGCTGGCGATGTCTTATCATTTTCATTTAGGACAGTCGAAAGAGTTTTAGAGAACTGACTCTAGACCCTGCATTTCCATTAACCAGCACTTGTAAGAGGAAATGATTAGACTTGGAATTCTAAGACCCTTGTCTATAAATCGTTAACCTTGAGAAGCACAACCAAAAGCTAGGATTCATGCGCAGGCAGTTGATGTGAGAAGTGTTTCCAGGGAGCAGAAGCAAAAGACTGGGGTTGTAAGACACGGAAGGAGGGGAAACCACCATGAGGTGAGTTATGAAGATCACTGCTGTGGGTAAGGGGAGCTTGATTCCATGGAGTAGCATAGAGAATTGTCCACTGAGGGACTGGGGACTGGGGCCTGGGGCACTTATTCACTGACCCCTGGCTCCAGTTGGTTGAGGGTGACCCCTGGAGGCATTAACTTGCCAGTGTGTCTGGGCTATGCTTTTGCCATGGGAACAAGGCCAGGTAGTCTCTGGAGGTAGTAAATACGTTTGGGATAGAATGCAACAGGATGTGTGGCATGTTCTTGAGATGCCAGGCTGTCAAAAGCAGGTGAATCTATCAACATGATCATCTGCGGCAGCTCCGGGTGAAATGCGAGGTAAGCCAAAGCATGTGACACCAGGTGTGTCTGTCACATAGTATAAGGGGATTCCACCCCTCAGCCCCCAGTCCATTGGAACATTCAAAGGAAGGCTAAGATTGGGGGTGGGGTACAGATTTGCTCTGCAGTTCTGCTTCCTTAGGCTGGTTCTTATGGAAAAGAAGGAAATACTCTTGGATAGAGTGGGATTATGAAACAGGCTGGAATCACCTCGTGAGGTCCTTGAACTTATTCTTCTGCCACACATCCCTGACAAACCTAGCTCATCGGTAACTCGGTCCACGGGAGCCTCAGAATGGAAGGACGTGAGGACCTAAGAGAGCTATGTCTCCTTTCCTTCGGGAGCAGTTGCAAACCAGGAAGTTTGGTCAAAGGTTAATTCAGTGGATTAAGAAAGACTTCTCCGCTGAATGAAGAAGGCAGGGTCTTTATGTAATTAGTGCATAATAAAAGATAATAATGACAAAGTCCGTGGCTTCCTACGGTTTAACATAGTAAGTAGGGCAAGAGGTAGCATGTTAATTAAAATCTATGTATTCTTTTAGAAAATTGTGGTTTAAGAACTTAAAAAGCACAGACCTTCAGACCAAGGAGAAAAGCATTCTAATAATAGCAAGGAATAAGCAAGACAAGGGGCAGTGTCTCCCTCAGTGCTCCCAGTGCAAAGAGTGCGGTTCGCTTAGCTCAGTGAAACTGGGAGACGTTCACAGAAGGTGGGTAGAAATAAGCAAAGAAATGGAAAGGAATAAAATCTCCGAGGCAACTGAGGCTTTCTGAAATTCAGTGTTCTCCCCTATAAAATGAGGATAGTTAATGACATTCACTCCATAGCTTTTGGGGAGAACTGAATGGCTGTGTGGGAAAGTGTTCTGTAAACTTCAGGGCATCATAAAAGAGTATAATTAGTCCAGGGCTTGATATGTAGTTGTTATTATTTAAATTGTTGAAATGATAAACACCACTCTACTCATTAAAGGGAGGAAGTTCTCTTTATCTGAACATTGTGGAGTGCATAGAGTTTCCAAAGAGCCAACAGAAACCAGCAGTATGGAAATAAATTTCTGGGTGCCCTAAGGAGGGAAACACGTGTCCTCATTCTGGCGTTACAGCGTTGCTATTATAGAACAGCTATGAAATGCATGCTTTTATATTACCTTACTAGAGGCCCGATGCATGAAATTTATTTAAAGGGCCCAGCCAACATTAATGAAATTAGCATCCTTTAACTTAGAGAAAGTGAGACCACTATGTCTTGATATCACCTGCTCATAAAAAGCTGACAGTTGACATACTATGGTGGGGTAGATGGACAAGTGTAAGAATGAAAAACCCATGTATTTTGTATTTGATTCTTTTTCC